ATCGAGCGGGCGCTCGGGCGGCGCTTCGCAGCCGCAGTCTGCGGAGGAGCGTCTGCTGCAGCTGGCCGCAGAGCATGCCGCAGAGCTTTCAGCCGAGCAGGCCGGCACCGCCGCCGGGGACGACCCCGCCGCCGGCGACGGCGGGGACCCCGGCCACCACCCTGCTGCGCCGCCGTCGGTCGCGGGCGCGGGCGTGGCTGCCGCCGCGGCTGCCGCGCCGGGCGGCCACGTGCACGGCAGCGTATTTGGCATTGTGAAGCAGCCCTACAAGACGGAGCTCGTCGTGAGGGTGTCGCCGCTGACGGTGCGCGCCGCGTTCAGCAACGTGTGGCTGTGGGCGGCGCTGATCGCGGACTCCGGGCTGGCTGGGGAGGTGAGGTTTGGGGAGCGGGGCCGGCTCTGGGTTTGTGTTTGTAGTCGACGTGTCGAGGGCATCTGCTTTTGCTGGCTGAGGTTGTAAAGCAGGTTTCAATGGGGCCTTCTTGATGTCTAGTGTGAGTGTTTGATTATTGGATGGGTTAGTCCCTAGATTTCTCGCAGAGGAGCTGGGGATGTTTTGTGACCGTACGCTGAGAAATCTGAGGTGTCATTCAATGAAATGATGTCACAACAGGAAATGTACACTGCCGCTTCCTTGCTCAAGCCGCCTTGGCGCGTCCCTCCACCCCTTGCGCACCCCAGGCGCTGCAGCATGGCGTTGGCATGTGGCTACCACACCCAGACCTGCTGCCAGCGGCCGTCGCACGCAAGCGGGCCGGCCTGCCGCTCTGGCAGCCCCAGGGGGCCGCGGCGGAGTTCCGCCGCGCAGCGTCGAGGATTGATGTACAGGTGGGGTCCGCTTGGGTGAACGCGCTGGTTTGGGGATCGCCTTCTGATATGCGGTCTGATTCCAGACTCTTTCCTTGTTTGTTGGTGACTTCTGCTGATTGTGCCTGCTCATTTTTGTAGACGTCACGACAGTAGCCACACACACTCATTCGCGCACACACCCACACGCACGCACACACACACACGCACACGCGCACACACACACATGCGCACACACACGCGTGCGTGCACACGCACACCGCGTTCCTACCATCTGCGCCAGCCTGGCGTGCTATAACTAGCTCGCGCCCTCGTCGCCCGCGCTCGCCGTCGCCGCAGCTGGCTGGGCTGTCTGTCGTGCTCTGCGACGACAAGCCCAGCACTTTTGGCGCCCCAGACATACTGCAGGTGATGGCAGCTGCCCGCTGCCCGCTGCCCTGGTTGTACACTTTGCATGACTCGTCAACTGGTGCAGTCGCAGCTGCCCAGCTGGACTCATCTGCGCTGCAGCGGCTCGCGCCAAAACCCTAAAACCTAGTATAGCTCGACATCATTAAAACCTCGAGCTGATGCCCCCTCCTGCCTGGGCTTGTACTATGCAGGCTTCTGCGGCGCCGCTGACGCTGCTGCATGCGTCCGAGCGGCGCCTGCCCGACGCGGCGCCCGAGGTGGCCGGGCGCCTGGAGGCCGGCGGCCTGAGCATGGCCTTCCTCAACAACAGCAGCAGCAGGTGTGGGTGGGGTGGTGGGGCGGAGACAACTGGGCCGAGGAGAGGCAACCAGCGGGCTGCAATTCACGGAGGCAAGATCAATGTGATTGCTCTGGCGCTTGTTGGACCTGGTGTGGGTGGTGTCTCAGGTGCTGGGTTTTCGCAACCAGCTGATTGCGGTACCCCTGGTGACGGCCCCGTGGCACCGATTGTCGGCGGCAGGTGGGAGTCCCTGGTGGAGCCGTGGCTGGTGAGGGTGGCGCTGTCGGACCCCATCAACCCCATCTTCAAGAGCGCGCGCACCACGTGAGCCGGGCAGGGGGAGACGGGTGGGGGGTGCGTTGGGTGCGGGCTTGCGGCCGGCAAGGAGGCCAGCTGTGCGGGGCCTGGGGCTGGTGAGGCGGCATGGAGCAGCTGGCTCGGTTTAGCAGTGGGCTATGCGCCCGCCTGTGGAAGACAGAGAGTCGAAACAGCCTGGTTGTATAGCAACAGCCCAGCATTTACTAGACGCTCTCCCGATATGCGCTCGCCGCCCTTGAAACGGCAGCTTCCTCCAAGTGGAATCCGAGGAGCCGGTCAAGGTCAACTTCCACCCCTCGTGCCTGCTGACTATCGGGGACTGCCTGGCCTTCTCACGGGAGCTCTCCACTACGCAGCCCTGTGGCGGCGGGCAGGCTGCCGCCCCGGGCCCGGCGACGGCCGACGGCGGCGGCTTCGCCTCTGGGTCGGGCAGCAGAGGACATGGCGCCGTGACCGGGGCGCATGTCGTGCCAGAGCGTGGGGATGAGATCAGCCTGAAGCGCGCGGGGTCGTTCCAGCCGCCTGCTCGGCTCATGAGCTTGGAGCGCCCCTCGCAGCAGCCGCCGCTGCACGGGAGCCGCGTGCAGACGCCGCCGCTGCGGCGCGCCCTCAGCGGCAGCGTCTCCTTTGCCCCCGACGGCGCCGCCCGCCGCGGCGACGCGCGGCGAGAGACGGACGACGCCACGGGCGGCGACGACGCGGGCGGCGGCGGCGCGGCGGGGGCGGGGGCGGGGGCGCCGGTGGTGGTGCGGGAGGCCCCCCCCAGCATGCATGAACAGATGGCCCTGGGCAGCTGCATCACCAGCCGCGTGCCGCAGAGGTGCGCGCCGAGTGGGATTTAGAAGATTGCCGAGCCTACGCTGCTGCCCCGTGCCCATGTTTGCTCTGCTGGGCGTTTCACCAGCAGAAGCAAGTTTCAAGTTGGGGCTTTTTTAGATTCGTCTTCCACATGCGCATGCGAAACACACAAACACACACACACACACACACACACACACACAACAGGTACCTGATCCAAAACCTGACTGGCAGCCACATCTGGTATTGGGCACCACCACACAACGATGACGGCGACGCGGGGCCGGCCGTCGCGCAGCAGGACGGCGCGGGGTCTCGCCTGCGGCCTGCTGGGCGCAAGGTGTTCCTGGCTGCCCACAGGAGCGAGGAGCTCAAGGTTGGCGGGGCTGTTATAGATAACAAATGTATCACAGGTTGTGTCCTGGCTGCTTGCTGTTGCTGCTGCTGCTACTGCTGCTGCTGCTGCTGCTGCTGCTGCTGCTGCTGCTGCTGCTGCTGCTGCTGCTGCTGCTGCTGCTGCTGCTGCCGCCAGCGCTGCTGCTGCTGTTACTTGATGATGTTTATGGCCAGATGTGTTGCATGCCGAGGATGTTGACAGGTGTCTGCTGTGGTTCTCGAGCAAGCACGCGGTGTTTTCGTGCTCCTGTGCGGCGCCGTTCGTGCAGGTGTCGCCTGTGCCGCAGAAGGTGGTGCTGGCGGCCGCGGACGGCACCGTCATCAGTGAGGGGCGGCAGCACGTGATCTGCCTGCAGCTGGAGGGGCGTTGGATGCCGCTGGAGAACGTGTCTGGTGCGCTTATGTTGCAGCGTATGGTGTGTGTGTGTGTGTGTGTGTGTGTGTGTGTGTGCATGTGTGTGCACGCAAATGTGTGTGTGTGTGGTGCGGAAGGAGTGGGTGTGCTGGGAACATGCAGCGTTGCATGCCAGTACTTGTGGTAACCCGCCTTTGCGATTTGCTTCCGCTGGCAGCCGTGAGGTGAAGTGCTATCTGCTGCCCACAACCACATCTGCCCTCCCAAACCCCCATGACGCAACTCCCCGCCAGTCGACGCCGTGGGCAAGTACCGCTACGCGGCACGGGACCCGATCGGCGCCGCCCCGCTGCCGGTGAGCAGTCCTTGCAGCACCCTTTGCGGCCGGCATTTACGGTCCGCCACGGACCAAGGCCTGGGCGCTTTTCATCATTTGGGCTCACTCTTCTCGCCCACCCAGCGGATCCACACCTTCGATCTCACCCCAGCGGCTTGGGACACCCCACCTGCCAGGTGCTGCTTGACGTGCTGCTGGTGGGCCGCACCAAGATACTGAAGCTCCACGGCCCCCTGTGGGCCACCAACGCCACGCGCCACAAGCTGGGCCTTACGCTGGCGCTGCCCGCGGCCGCTAACGGTGGGCGTCAGCCGGCTGGAGGCTCGGCTGCCTGTGTTTGCGCGAGGTGGTTTGTGCATCTGCCTGCCTACTGGTACCATCTGTCCCTGATCGTACATACACATACTCACACCATGCAAAGACACACCCACACAGCATGCCCACATGCACGCACACGCGCGCATACACAGACACACGTGCACGCCTGGTTGTGCGTCAGCACTTACAACAAACGAACACGCACATCTGGACTTGCAGATATGCACGGTTTCACACGGCCAGCACCCAGCGCGCGCGCGCACGCACAGATATTCATGCACCCCTGCATATAC